CCCACCCATCCCACCCCAGGGGAGGACATCCATCACACAGTAATCTCGTGTGTGGGAAATTAACGTCTCCTACCCCAACCCTGCAGGAGACGGGACCTCCATTTATTCGTCCCTATCCGAGAAGACTAGAATATCTAACCATTTCTTGATGTTATAGAAAGGTAGCAAATTCTTCTCAATTATTTTTAGACCTTGAGTGTTGGTCCGGCCGGGGCTCGAACCCTCGACCTCCCGCACTACAGTCCAGCGCTCTATCCATTGAGCTAACCGGGAGGCGGTGGATCAAATATCACAAAAAGCTTGAAGTATCCGGGAAATTTTTCACCTTAACCCAGCGCAAGAGCCGATACCTTCATTGATCTCGCGAACAAATCGAAGCGCTCCTCACCTTTAAGCTGATGACCACTGACCAGTTACTGTGACGTCACGAAAACGTATTTCCGCGGTGTCGGTGCCATTTCTCGCCTCAAATCGACGATGGGTCTCTCTCCTAGAACTATTCAAGTACAACAATCTCCGTCCCATGATTTCTTAGTTAAGAGCCTGCGCAAAAGTTGAAGGGATACAATGACGTCACGGGCTAACGCGCGGTCATTTTGCGGTTTGAGTAATGGCGGACGTTGAATCGAGGAAAAATGTCTAAAAAAAACAGACTTCCGCTTCGAATTTTCTTTCCAAATTTCGTGAGAGTGGTAAGTAGTCGATAAGGATTCTAAAAAGTGAAAAATCTGGCAAACGCTAAATTTGGTCTCAGTAGCACTTTAATTGGAGCTTTTGAATGAAGTAACTCCTCTGCTTTATATTTAGCATCAACGTGATTTTCTAAAAGTTTTTATTTGAGATTATTGGGCTGAATTTTTTCATCGGATTCATAGACTCTTCTTAATTTCTGGTTTGTATTTCCTTTTCAGGTCAGCAATACCTGCCTTTTCCTCTGGACGTATCCACATTACTTGGTGGCTAAGATATGTTTTATTTGAGCTGCAGGTCCTGTTTTTATTTGACCAGTTTTACAAGAGATTTTATCACACCTTCAGTTGTGGTTTCAATATTACATGCAGCCAAGTACACTGATTCATCTCGTGCAACCATCATAACTGATAAAATTTTCCTCATCTTTGTATTAAAATCGAGTTTCATGTTTCACAACCTCCTTCCCAGGGCCTTTTCCCTCAGCGTGGGGCGGGGCCCTGGGAACGAGGTTGTATGTTTCAGGAGCACATTTTGCAGTGGTGGAAAATACAGGATAGAACAAGACAACTCAGATATGGGCTTATTAGCTAACAATTTATAAGCTGATAAGCAGTAACATAAAAAAATATATTCTTGAAACAACTATGCTTCCAGACACATTTGTTGGTACACTAGTTAAGCACTTTCCCTACACTTACTGTTTGTCGGCTATGAGTTGGCCCAGATACATTGGCGATAAAGAATATTGGTAGGTGGGAAGGGGCGAAAGAACATCAAAGATGTTTTTTCAGGGCATAAAATAGCGACCCAATTTGATGCCCTTTACGCTTAAATTACAGTTTTTCGTACAGTAAAACAAAAGCGATGCAAATAAAAGTGAGGGAATAGGAATAATCAAATACATAAATCATCAATTGTCAAAGGAAGAAGTTAATTAATACTGAGCTGAGAAGAGTAAAACGCGAAAAGTGACCTTTTAAAAAGGCTTTCTAATGGACTTCTCCCGTATAGATATAAGAACATCATTCCAGTAGTAGCATCCAAGAATTGTGGCACAGAATCTTTCTCTATTCTTCCTGAAGGGCTAGGGTTCAGGTGCTGTAATTGATATTACAGCACCTCAGACGGTGCACCAAAAGACACGGTGAAATTAGATGATTTTTATCAACAATATGATCGTAAAATAGTTGACACGTACTTAACTTAATTAGATCAGGAAGCTTCATCATCATCATCATCTCATCATCATCATGTTTATTTGTTCAAGCAGGTTGAATTTATTGGCAACTGTATAAGCTGATGTGGACCTGCTGTTTTCCCACCCAACCCACCCCAGGGGAGGACATCCAGCACACAGTAATCTCGTGCGTGGGAAATTAACGTCTTTTACCCCTTACCCTTTAAGAGACGGGACCTCCGGCTTTACGTCCTATCCGAGAAGACGAAACAATGTGAGTGAAGTGTCTTGCTTAAGGACTCAACGTTAAGCCCCAGCCAGGACTTGAACCCGGGCCGTTTAACCCAAAGTCCAGCGCACTGACCACTGGACTACTCACGCCTCAACTGATTCGCACACGCATCGAGCGCCTTTTATTGACTGTTGTGAATGAAAAGTCTTTTATCTTGCTATTTTAAATGAACACACCTCGCTAGAAATACTTTGTTCGTTACGGTGAAGACTGGGTCTTTGATAGTGTCCGTTCCTTTTGACTTAAAGTGCCACTGAAACAAAATTTTTTTATCTGTGATTTTTGCATGATAATAAAGTTTGAACCTTACTAACAAACACTGTGAGTATTTTTGGTCCAACGGAGCGAGGAAGGCTTTCTTCTAGCCCTTTGAACTCGGTTAGTCGAGCCCAAATTTGGCGGCCATCTTGGCGCGGCCAAAACAGTGTTGTGACGTCACTGGTTGTATACATCTCAGAACTCCGAGTAAATCCCAAGTCAGCATGGAGTGCGGCAAAAGTGTAGAGAAGCCCAAAAAAAGTCTTTGGGCAAGTACTGTGTTTCTGGTGGGCCCGGAAATGTAAGTTGTACTAATAACTTCAGAACAGAGGGCATATCTATGCATATATTTCCTTGTGACGATGTAACTTGCGAGAAATTGGATCGCTTCGTGCAGCCATCGAAAATATCAGTACTGTGTTCCGTGCATTTAGAATTGTCAAACTTTGAGCAGCGACTCGATCTAAATCTCGGGGAAGGCTCTAGCTTCCTTTCAAACAAAGCGATGATTAAAGAAGGATGCTGTGCCAACCAAAAATGGTGTACAGCAGCAAGAAAATGCCTTGTCCTCGCGTGAGCAAAGAATGGTGCTTACAAAAGGTGTGAAATTCCGCTTGGCGTTTGGACGAGAGATGAATACGCCATTTGTTGCTTTAAGAACAGTACGGTTTATTAATGGAGAAAAGGCGGGATGGTTCAAAATGCATTCCGCATCGAGACCGATAAATGTAAACTTCCCTCTCGTCTGGAGTATTTCGCAACAGCAACTAACTTCACGCACACCAGCTAAGTGTGTAACATTGCAATTTACACACGTACACCTGTAAACAGAAATGTTTAGACTTAAGCCTGAAGGTTCAATCGAAAAAAAAAAAATCACAGCTATGAGCTCTCACCAATTGTCTAAAGGAACTTTTTCTTCGAAACGTTGTTCTAAAACGGAGGGCAAAATACCGTCTTCGTCTTCTTCTTCATCTTCGCCGCCACCATTGTTATCGCCGTCTTCACTAGAAGCCAAGGGCTCGCCTTGGTTCGGCGCAAAATTGCCATTAAATGCTCAGCCATCACTGCCGGCTCACGTATTGGCCCTCCCTTCGGAAGAAGATTCACCCGTTGAGGGCTTCTTTCAGACATTATGGCGGACCGTATAAATACAAACAATGCGAAAGAAAAGACCGCGCTAGCAAGGTAAATACAATCAGTGATGTCAGCAATCGTTTTAATACGTTCCCAGGGCCCGGACATGTTTTGAAGCCAAAATGCGGTTTTCAACACTAAAAAAGACAACTTTCCCCTTTTTCTGGCGAAAACAAATTAGCCCACGATAATCAGCGTGTTTCAAACCACTAAATTATGAAAAAATCTCAGATATGAAAATTTCGTTTCAGTGGCACTTTAAAATGCCTGTCGAGTCCAAATCGTAATGAGATCATGGAACTTTTCGCGTACGGGCTGGCAGTATTTTTTTTTTAGCGCCGGCGTAAAATTGTTTAGAACACTTGCCACAGCAATTTTATCTTAGGTTTCCTTCAGGTTCTTCTCCCTCGAATAATCATTCGGAATTTTTACACTTGACTTTTTTGTCCTCTCGGTGATTTTGGAATCTTTGTTCTTGATCAAAACTTTCAATCCTCCTTGGAAACAGAGATGAAGCGCTTAGCAATTTTTGCAAAAGTTTGACGACACTACACAGATGAGGGGTTTGTGAACTAGACAGACTTTGAACTCGACATCATATCCAATAAGATTGGGTTATCAAGTTAACTTTTAATGCTACTGTATTTCGACGGAATGCTCTCGACCAATCAGATGTTTCATAGTATCAATGTATGATAATCTGGGACATACGAGTGCATAGTAAACACTTATAAAAGACGTTGACGTTTATCTAGAGAAATATCCTAACTTATCATGTCTGGGATTGCAGCTTTTTTCTTCTAAATTAAAGGAAAAAAACATTTTATTGAGTTATGTTCAGCCTTCCCTCTTCCCTACCCCGTATCACGGTTCTTTATCTACTGTTCAGTAAAACTTGTTTAAAACATTGAGTCAGCGGAACAAATATAATTAAGTCGTTAACACTTTATTAACAGAACTCATGCATTAAAATAACACTATAAATAGACAATTTCCAACATAGTTGGGTTGCGTAGTTTGTTCAAGCTTGAACCACTCATAAAAATTATTAAATAATTGGATTTACGCTCTGGCAATGATAAAATCATCTCTTATTACAGCTGTAACACCCTTATTTAGTTCCAGTGGATCTATTTACTTCTTTTTGCAATCTACAGGAAGTATCAGTCGCTGATCTCTGTGCGGTGGATGGAACACCCCGTAGATCTCATAACACCCGTTCACGCAAACTACTGTTTTTACAGTGATCCCGTCAGCGATTCTCTTGTATCTGTAGTCTTTTACACAACTATTATTCGCTGTATCTCGTCTGACTTTTTTCCCCCTGCCTCTAAGTGCACCATCGTCCACTTCATCATCTGGAAGAGTAGATATCAGGGTCATAATGTCGTCCTCAGCGGGAACGGTCGGTTTGCTTCTCTCCGTGTCTCGTCCGACTCTCTTCTCATCGTCAAGCAGTACATCTTCTTCTGCCTCGTACTCTGCGGAATCACCTGCCATTTCGGATGCCATGTCCCCGGCTAAGAGATCTAAATCTTCGATTTCCTTGGCTGGAATTGTTGGCTTGCTTTCAGCAAATTCATAAACGGCGAACAGCAGCAACAAAACAACCGTAGTTGTATAGACGACGTCCTAGAAGGAGAAAAAGCTGGGCTTGATATCTTGTTGTGATGTTTGGGTATGTATATATTGCAGGGAAGTTTTCCCCGAGGCATACAGTTTGAATTGGCCTCCTCGCATTCTCAAGAATTTAAGATATATGTTAGTTCACTTTTTCGTTTGAGAGACAGCAGAAAAGATATACATAAGTCTGTCTCAATTTTCTTCTTCCCAGGACTTAGTGGTGCGAGTTTTGTCGACTAATTGGATATCTTTTGACAATCCAGTGAAAACTATTCTATCACTTCGGGGACTGAAGGGTAAGTGCTAATAGTGGAGCAGTTTAAGAGAATGGAACCTAGTGTTATAGGTGACAATGAATCATGATTACTTGTTATCCTCTCCAAAGAAAGAAAAGTAGTGAATAAATGATGACTTTTTTTGTGTGGAAAAATGGAAGTGAGAGGGGCAGCATTGAAAAAGAGATTTCTTTAACCACTTTTTTTACGTAAAAAATGAATCCGTGAAAATTTCAGAGATAAATGGTCGATGAATCACGATGCCCACAACCAGAAAGTGGCCACTTACCTTCGACTTCAAGCAAATCATCATGGAGATTAATTAATAAGAAATTGTCCCAGCGTTCTCCAAGGAACTCACTTTTATGTGCTCACTGTAAAGTTCTGAACTCTGTGAATCGTCCTTAAAGGAGCACGAACTTTTATAGCTGACACAGCAGTGGACATGGCTCTCGTGACTAAAAATATATTTTAAGGAATTACACCGGTCGTCCATTTTAGGAGTTTCGTTTAACAAAAAAGAATTGTCTCAGAAAGTAGGAGTATGCTTCTTCGTCCGTTCTGAGAGAATGCGGATTGAATAATTGGCGTAAGAGACTCGAGGCAATTAAGTGCAACGAATTCAATGGAAACTATGTTGCTTCCTTGTCTATTTTAAAATCTCATGATCGCAGCCTTAATAAGAATTAATAGGCATCACGTTTCTAAGGGGAAAAACAGGAGTAATTTCTTATGATTTCCCGTTTGCACCTGCTGGCGCAAGTACGCCTATCTCATTTAATAGAGGTTATGGTATCTACGTCTACGTGAAACTATCAGTTGTTTTTTAATTCCTTTGCTGACGTCATCTCGTGAAACAAAGCAGTTATATTCGGAAATCGAAGCTAGCAACGAAAAATAAGTTTTGATCAGGTGATACAGGTCTATAAGAGGTACTTTCGATAGGAAAAAAAAAGGAAAAATCTTTACATCCCGGAACAATTAATTCCACATTTAATTAGCCATTTCCAAGGCCCATCATCTGACTGGTTCTATCTGTTACCTGTTTTAAAAGAACTATTTGATACTTTTCCTTCCCTTTCTACTTTTCTCAAAATCGATTTATTCATTAGAGGAGTTTTGGGTGTTGCTGGCTTCCCCTCCTTTTAACACTTCCTTTAAACAAGTTTTACACGTGGTCATAATTTATGTTCAATGTTGTGTTTAGCATATTTAGCGAACCGTGTAGAGTAGGCGTGGGCGTAAGTTTTACAAATAAAAGCCACGAACCGTTACGCGGAATATTCAACCGTTTCAGTAACGTTACGTAAGTTTTTTCACTTGTGATTCTCTTCTATTTTCCTTTTAAAGATGACAACAGTCTTTACGTCTTCCCTATCTGCCGTCTTGCGGATAGGTTTATTGTTGAGTGACTTTTCGATCGAGCTAATTTTTGATAATTTGTTAGGTTTCAGCGATAACTCGTTATGAATAATGTACAAAATACAACAAAATGGCAATATACAACAACATGACAATAACCGATAGATTTCAATGGATCAGGGCTCGTAAAAGGTACCTAGAAGCTTCCTCTTTATTGTTGGTCAACCGTTTATTCAAAAGCAAGCTTCTACTTTTTTCGAATGCGCGGTTTGGATTTTGTAATATGCTATGCTGCGGAATTAAAACGAAAATCGGATGGAAGTGTTGCACCGTATCAATCTCTCATTTACATTGATTCCGCTTTTAAAAAATCAAGGACAAGAATTTTACGTTTTTCAAGATGATCCTTAAGCTTCGTAGAAAAAAATCCCCTTCCTACTTTTAAAAGTTTTAAAAATGGAAACTACGAAGACTTCCGCTCTTGCCTTTATTTAGTGCCGTGGTGTTGAGCAACAACAAGACCACTCGTGCGTAACTGGCAATAGCCTCAGCACAGTCAATAACTTCCTTAGTTTGAGCTTTGGGCTGGCCTGAGGAAATAAGAAACTTAATGTTGTAATAGTCATGAACGATTTCCTGGTTAATTATTTATCTTTTTTTCTTTATTTTAAACGGAGGAAAAATGACGTTAGACCGTAAAAAATGTTGCGGAACTGAAATGACGAATTGATTTGGCATGATGGAAGCACATTGTGAATTATTTTTGATGAGAATAACGTGATGATCAAGTTCCTTTCTCCAATGGGATTTCAGCTTTTTCGGCTGTAAATGATGATTCATGCAGTATGGTATTGAGCTGTTGGCATCCCTACCGAACGTTTAGCGTGTACAGAAAATACTTTGGTGGTCATTCCTCCGAAAACTATGACAAACTCTAAAAAAATTATTATGGGGGTAATGTAGCTGTAATTGTGATGGGCAAACCCAAACCTAATATTATAGATCCACAGCAAAGAGCAGTTCTGCATTAACGATTGAAAGTTCACATACTTGGGTGCTCTTTAAAATACTTTTTGTCAGGTCACGTCAGTGCACAATATCCCGAATAAAGTTTAAGGCGGCGCTGCACTCTGAAAACGAGAAAAAAAAAATCTAAGTCTGATGAAATATCTTCCTTGCACACCACAAAAACCAGCGGCGGTTGAAAAGCTAGAGTGGAATTTTGGAAATTGCGAAAAATAACCCAGTTATCCTGCTAAAAATACAAACGGCGGTAACGTTAACATTTGCGGAAAGGTTCATTTTCAAAATGTTCCCTCTACAATCTTGAAGTTCACTAACTGGGAAGAGCGTTTTTCAAAAACACCCTTTTCGGTGGACAGTTTATCTGGATTAGTACCGAAGAGAGGCGCAGCCGTAGAGAGGTTACGCTACGCGTCTACGCACACAAGTCTCGATTATGCGTCTACGCCTGAGACGTCTACTAGGTTGCAGATGACACTCCCTGCGAAGCCTACGACCAAGCACCTGGAGGTAATGGGGCAGGAAGACGGTGGGTCGGCCGGTATCTTTGGTCGATTGAGAAATTTAAGCGTGTAAGAGTTACACCATGTTTCTTGTTGTTCTAATTAGGAAGATTATCCTTACAAACGATTTAAAATTTTAGTTGGGAAGACTCGTTATCCAATTGACGGAACTGCATGCTTGGTTGCAAATCAACAGAAATAAAAGTGAAATTTATCTTTATTAAAACATATTTTCACCTGCAAAGGGTGATCCTAAATATGTGGCTCATATAATAACCCTCCTTTAAATCACACCACGATATTTTCCACTTTAGAAAAACGACGAAAAACATATCTTTCCGACACACAAACGTAAAAATGAATAATAACAGAAAGAAAATATTGATTTAGATAGCTATTGCCATGTTACTCTTTGGTTCAATCTTCTCATTGCACCTGCACATATTGTATCACATTACGTTCAATACAAACTCTAACTAGCAAGTATTTTACTACATTTTGCTTTTTGCATATCACTCCTTCACTTTATATTAAATGGCAATCAACAAACATGTGTCCTCTTTACTTCATAATTTGTTTTCGCACTAAGACGGACAAGAAGGAGTGTGGAGGCAAGGAAAAAAAAAAAAAGAAAGAAAAAAAAAGAAGGGGAGTGGGGGAGGGGGCGGAGCGACGCAGCGATCTCAGCAATAGATAACATCTGTTATCCAAACTCTTCAATGCGATGATAAAAATAGTTGTTTTAGCTTATCTCTTGGTATTAATTTTTTCAATCAGAAGTCTTGGGAATACCGGAATACCGCTCAGAAAATTGAATTCAATGAACATTTTCTACTGTAGGTAAAATATCAAAAGGTTTTAAGAGCAACGCATGGTAATAGAGGAGAGGGAAACAACCTGGAAATCGTAACCCCACAACTTTTTAAAAAATTAAAATTTTTAGTAACATCCTAAAACAATAACGAAGTTAGTAACTCTGCCCATTTAAAGTAAGTTAATATCTAAGTTCTACAACTCAGCAAAACCCCCAAAAAGGAGAGCAAATAGCCTCAGCCTCCCGTCCCTCCCTTGCACCATAATAAGAGTACGATGTACCAGTACTTTATAGTTCTTCTTTCATTCGCTCAAAGTTAATAATTGCTTATCTAAACCTAAAGTCGTGAAATTCAGTACTAACGCCATAATTTATAATACTACATAACATGAGACTTTGACCCGCTTGCGTTTTGAACCTTGGACATGATATCCTCTTCGGATAAGTCTCCTAATGATGTTGCGTATATTGTAACGTGTGCAGGCTAAAATTAATTTAGTCAAGGAAATTAAAATGATATTCAAGCACTACCTAAAAGTACAAAAAAAAAAAAAAGCTATACACAAGTATCTTTCATTTAGAGGGGTCAGATACGGATATTCTTTATTTTCCGATTATTTTTTCTCAACGACGCATTCGGATCACGTCTTTATATATTCTCACTGCTACTAAAATTTAGATCACATGATGATTTCTTTGAGAAGTTATGGTTGTTCTTTATACACATACTCGTCTCATTCTATTGTACAAAAATCGTCCTTTAAACATGTTTCTTCCTCTTCTCCTTTTTCTTTTATCTATTTTATTCTCTTTTTCTTTTAAGAAGGATTACGATTTGAATGTGAGGTAACGAAAACAAACGAGCCGTTAGCGATAAAGGATACATGAAATGCCTTCTCCACAGTAGATTTGTGTGTACTGATTTTTCCTTTAGTCATTGGCTTGACACTTTCACCAACCCACGTAATAAACACAAACTTGACGGTGCTTATTTCGTCAACAACATCCATCTGCAGAACAAATAAAGTCTCAGTAAAACATCAGAAGAGCCCAGAGCAAAGCCAAAACATACAAGGCAAACACACAGAGAAAAACCGTAAACAATGTAAATAATAAATATTTAAATAGTTTTCATATATTGGGACCCGTACCTAACGTAAAAAATTATAGTGCACTTAAGATACGTTCAAACGGACTTGATCATTTCAACTTTCATTTACTATCATTGACTATCATGTTTTCTTTCCAACGGTTCATGATAGTTGATAATAATTGACAATATGCCGCGCGCTGAGGTCAGCATATTTCGGCAGCATTTGAAAAATGATCTGAGCCCCTTCTTGGCAAAACTGCTGACCGAAAAACATCCTTCGTTATCATCAGCACGTTCAAACGGCAAGAGCTATCACCAACTATCATGTCGAATTTGAACATATCCAAACTATATGATAGTTGATGATAATCCAGTCTTGCACGATAGCTCGTGTTCACACGCGCGTGACAGCTGAAACTGTCACAACTATCCCGACCGTTTGAACGCGCTTTGAAGTTCTAAAGCATGAAAGTGTCGGTAAAGTACGTCCAGTAACGGATTTATTCGTTCAGTAATGGTGACGTTGGTTTAGTGACAGTCAAGAAAGTCAAGTGGCGGTAAAATACGTCCAGTGATGGTAAAGTTCCATTTCTGATAGTCGAGTCCGTCCATTGAAGGACAAATAAGTCCGGTGACAGTTGAGTTCGATAAGTCACGCTCAAGTAACGGTAAAGCAGGCTTAGCGATAGGCCAAAACGTCCGGAAACGGTAAAAGAGGTTTGGTGACAGTCAGTTCTTCCAGAAACGGTCAAATCCTACCGTTGACGGAAAAGTAGGCCTAAAGACATTTCAGTACATCAAGAGACAATTTCACAGGTAAACTTCGCATTGTAGACTTCTTGTAACGGTGTAAACGGTTTAAACTTTTACTCACCACTCTTAGCAGAGCATAGGCCACAACATCGCTTTCCAACAACGGAAGGATGCCTTTCAACCCATCTGCGCCTTTACCACTCAAAACTATAGGCTTCTTGGGATTTTTTTCTTCGTATGAACCGACACACCTGTCAAAACAGAGGGGCAGGGTAAATAGCTAGGAGAAATCACACGAACAAGCGGAATACTACTGTAAATATTGCAGAACTCTGGTTAACGACCAGAGTGTAACAATGTTTTTTATACAAGTTCATTGTATGTGCTCTAAAGCTGTACAACATAGAGAAAGATATGCAATAGCAAATTTATAGTAAATCCACAGTATCTACATTTTTTTTATGCTTACGTGCGACTTTGCATCGTTTCCATTTTTTCACCTTACCTTTTTTTCGAAAACGAAAAAATGTTAGACCCAAGTTTAACTTCTAATCCTCTTTCCATAAACCCGCTCAAACACTTTAGGGTTAAAATTAATGCTAATGGTAGTAAGCGAAAGTTAATTTAATTTTAATAATATAGATGATTTTTCAACCACAGCTATTCTTCCACATACTTTGGACACTAGGGCACTAACCACCCGTTACGCACTGAACCTGAGCAGGGAGACAAACCGGTCAAATGGTAAAGAGAATTTAGTTAACCTTAACACCGTCCGGCCAGACGAGCCCATCCCTAAATTGTATTAATTATTCTGTAGCTACATGTACTATTGTACCAGTAAAGGAGAGTTTTATGAGCATTGTTAAAGACAGTTATGAAATAGAACGTTATATTGTGGGTCGTTTCCAACTATTGGCTTAAGGAAAGAATTAATGATATCCAACACCTTACCAGTTAACTGGTGTTTCATCGCTTCGTACGTCAGCTATCGCTTCAGTTACAGATCCATCAATGTTCACGGCCACTTAAACGAAACACAAGCGTTAATCCCTTAACTCCCAAGATCTGATTGTTAATTCTCCCCTCTAGCTGCTACACACTGTCTTGTAAATTAGTTATGAGAACTTGGTGTTAGATCAAGACAGCAACTTCTACCTGATAGATTTGAGTAATCTCATTACCTGTTTGCTGGATCATGTGTGGATATTATATGGAGAAGTTACAGGTTAATCACTTCTGGGAAATAAAGGGTTCAGAACAGAAATAATTAATTATGAAGAGGATAAATAAATAGATGACAAAAAATGAAACAAGAGGGTAACAGAGTTTTTGGGAGAAATGAGGAAAGACACTATAAAAGCTTGAAATTTTTTTACAAATGGCACAGTTAAAATTTTGGAAAAGTGAAGGTACATGTAGCTTAAATACCACAACCTTAACTTAGAAACAATTACCTGCACCAGGGGCCTGGAAACCAATCTGAGCCTTCCCTGTTTTGATTACATTACTACTGCTGGTGAAACCTCGATCCTATTTAAAAGCAAAAGTAAGGTCTGTGATAAGCTACATCAGCATCAGAAGTGACTCCAATGTACAAGCTCACCTGAAAGGGATACACATGTGGAGGTGTTATTGTCTAGTTGAACCATAGATGAATCATAGTTGAATCATAGGTGCTACTTGCCATTAAATTGCCAATTTTATGAATTTAGCAGCAAACCTTTTTAAACAAACTGACATTCACATACCATCTATCTTAAACAAGATCTTTAACACGTCTATAACAAAAAAAGCAATTATGTATGGTCCATTTTCCCTTTATCTGTCAAACATTTGCTGTACTTAATGTGTACACATATTCTTTCAACTATGGGAATAAATATCAAAAAATGTCTGTTGACTTACAGAGGAAGTGGATGACAGATTATCAAAAAAAAAAATGTAAAACATTTGTATAAGATTACCTGAATAACAACAGCTACTTTTCCTAAAGAAAAACTGTTGAACCTCCACTAATGACCACCTCTATACAACGCCTACCTATTCACAACAACCCCCTTTTTAGGACCTGGCAGGCTGTTTATGCATGCATTTAAACCTGTTTACAACCACCATCTCTCCATGACAGCCACTTTCTCCTGTCCTGAAGGTGGCCATTGTGGAGAGCTTCAACTGTATAGTAACTGCAGCTCAATGAACTCACATGCTGACTTTTTTACGGCACTCAGTTTTGTTCAGCAGTGTTCCACATTCCACTTACATTTGTATTAGATAAAACTCAATAATAAACCCATCTTACTTACTTGTCTTTGTGCAGCAGCTGAGGCTTCCAATACTTTGTTTGTTCGTCCACTATTAGAGAAATAAGAATGATTTTTAATTTATTTAATAGTTTGAAATCTTTAATGATCTGTCAAGGTCCAATAACTTGTTCTCCCTTGTGATTGCTTTACTATAATATTTGAAAAATACATGTAAGCTGGTAGAATCTTCTATCATATGCCTGTGCAGCAGTATACTGTAACAACCTCTAATTAAAAATACCTGTCTACTGAATAATGATTGAAAATTTGATAATATTTTTGAAAGAGGAAGATACATGCTGGTAAATTCTATGACTTAAGTTTCAAGATAATATACCTGGGGGAAGCAGTACCCCTACCGTACACGGTACAGTACATATATCATTTTTGTGTTTTTATGCATGTCTTGGTTCAAACGGCTTATAATGGCTACTTACGGCTTAACTACATGTGTACTGTTTGTGAAGCACGTCTCCCCTTGAGTGGTACTGGGTGGGATTGTGGTTGGTGTCAAGTAATTTTGGCATGTTTTTCAAGCCCTCTTCAAGTACCCATTTGCACTTCTGGGTGGAGATGGCAATTGTGTAAAGTGTCTTTCCCCAAAACACAAACAAAGAGTGGGCCAGTATTACACTAGTTTAGAATAGGATGTTCATTTCCTATTGTAAATCTCTTTTCCCCTATTCATCCCAATAAGGAATTTCCAAACATTATGCACTCCAACGATAAATCTCACTCATCCAAATGATAGAACAGGCATTGTATTTTGAGTAACATGATATCTTTATTTCAAACACTGTGATTTAATGAATAAAAAGTCTGAGTATAGAGACAAAATATGATTATTATAAAGTACCTAACAGTTTAAAATAATCATTAAAACCACAAAACTGAGATGTTTCAGCACCTGTTCTCTGAGAGAACCTTCATCATTGCTTCCTCAGTCAAGTCTGTTGTTTGTCCAGTTTCTATGATGCAATGACTGGGCTGTTTAAAA